AATGTGTAGTGTTACCTTCAACTTGGAGAAGATGAACTGTTTGTCTAACCTATCAAATATGACATCAGAGTTTGAATTAGTATGAAATTTCATTTTCTGAATTACATAGTATATTTATATAGTTCTTCCCTTTTTGCTAAAATTAATCTCACGGCATGTACACATAAACCAAGGTTCAATTACTAGTAACATATTCATGTCTAACGACCTAAAGAAAGATTTGTGACAATATTTTTTAATTATCCTGGCAATTCTTCACATTGGAAATAAATTTGGTGATCCAATATACGTGCTGAAAATTGGCCAAATGCCAGTAATTTTGGGAATANTAAATTTGGTGATCCATTATCCGTGCAGAAAATTGGCCAAATGCCAGTAATTTTGGGAATACCGAACGCGAGTAAACAAAATTGCATGAATATGTAAATAGAATGAAAATTCTCAAGTAGACAATAAACGGAAGCAAAGCAAATACAATCATGCTATATGAACATCATTGTTGACATCTTTATTTACACTGCAACACATGTCAACACACCATTTCAAAGAGAGTGTCATTCATAATGTACACTCAAGAGTGTACATTTGACATTTCCTGAGCAAATATTTGGTAACCAAGTTAGTTCTGACATTAAATAAATTAAACGGGATAATTTGATAATGCCAAAATATTTTAGAAAAGGACACAAAAATTCAAATGAATATTGAACTGTTGTACATTCATTAGTAAAATAATATTACACATAAATTCAAAAATTTTACTTCCTTTTAACTACATATTTTCCATCAAATCACTATTTCAAAATTTATAAATAATAATAATTGAGGCCAAACGGACGCACGTGCAAGCACATTGCAACTTCAAGAGTATATCGAATGCAAGTTAATGACTTATTTTGTATTGATTTAAATCATATTTTCATCTAAGTCAAAGACAAATAATTAATATTAACCACATATTTTATGGGTCTCACAACTTTTTATTCACACATTTCAAAATTTTCTATCAAAATCTACTAAAAATCTAATTTTAATCCCCACCAAACAGGGGCTTATATAATCACAATTTCTTCACCACCGACTCATCCGGTTTTTGTGCATCATCACTGTTAGCTAGAGTAACTAAACTCATTTCTCGTCGATTCATTTGCTTCCTTCATATCATTCACTNTGTGCATCATCACTGTTAGCTAGAGTAACTAAACGCATTTCTCGTCGATTAAGTTGCTTCCTTCATATCATTCACTCCTTGTATGCAAATAAAATTTCAAAATTCAAACCCATTCATAATTATTCTTCAAAAGCAAAGAATTTCAAATTGATATTTTAAATTCCAATTTTCTTGAAAAAATAGTTGAAAATATTCTTCAAAAGTTCACATTTTTCAATAGATGAAAATTAAGGAAGAAATTTTTTAAGCGGACATTTTTCACCATTCTAATTTCAGAAGCATAACGGCTATAATTGTACGTCCGGACGTACATGAAGACTTCTGGTTGATCATCTGATTTCACATATCGTTTTGCGCTTTGAACTCTATAAATACTCCCACTTCTACCATTCACAATAACAACTAAAAGAAAGTTTTCTTGTGAAATATATTTGTGAAAAATCTTCTTTATACTTACATTTTTATATTCATTTCATTTATTTTTTCATAGCAAAAATCTTTTATTGTTGAATCAAACCTCTTGAATCATTTCTTTCATCAAAGTTTGTCATCTCTCTTTGTGCTTGACTTATTTATATTAATCTTAAGGGATATATTTTAGAATAAGATCTTTTGCACGTACATTGCATAAAATTTGCTACTTATCATATTAAAAAGTTTGATTATTTTATAAAATTTTTGAAATCATCATATTCATCAATGTTTTCATTTCTAACACTTGAGTTATCATTTGTTACTATTGATTGAAGTGTTAGCCTCTCTTAGTATTTATCTTGTTTGTATTATTTTATCAAGAGATGAATTCCATTGTAAAATTACTTTGATAAAGTGTGGATCGTGTTGAAATCCCGTAAAGATCAACATTGTATAGGGGATCGGTGCTCCTTGTTTTTCCTGTTTCAATTTTGAAAGTAGTATTTATTGATATATTTTACATATTACTAGTATATTAGATATATATATTTACATATTGTAGCAATTCGTGAAATCTTATTTTTTTTAATAGGTTAGATACGAGTTTTCCTCTTATATGAATGTAATGCCTATAACGCAAATTCATTTTTAGGCCCACCCGACTAGAGGTGAGTATGGGTCTGTTTTGAACCCAATCTGAAGTCAAACCAACCAAGTCAGCTCAATTTGCTTAAATTGATTTGAGCTTTATATAAGCATATTTAAGCTAAGTCACACGTTCTCTATACGTCCAACAAGGAAAAAAAACAAAGATTAGGTACAAGCATAATCGATGTGATTCAAGAAACAAAACAACCTTTTATTTGGTTGGGAAAGGGGAAAAAAGTCTATTACATTCAATAAATTAGGGTTGAGCATGGAGAAGATGAACAGAAATTCAATAAAATTCAAGAAATTACTATGCTTGTATTCTGTCTTGATTTCCTTTCATAGTACATTGCTATGTCTTTGTTATTTTCGTGTCAACCATTGAAAGAAAATATTCATAACGACTTTATATATCTTGAAGATCACGTTTAACAAAATAAAATATTTTAAAGCAAAATTTCACTTCAAACTTTGGTTTGTGTGGATTAGATTTAAAGAAAGAATTAATTAATTATTTCAATGATTTGTTTGAACAACTTCACAAAATGAAATCGAGATATCTAAATTACTTTATTCGAGCAATTAAATTGTTTCTTATGAAATAACAAACAAGGATACAAATTTTGAATGTTGATGACACATAAAATACCTTTTTTCATGCACAATATCTCATATTACATTAAAACCGATTGAAACTTTCAGTGTCTCACAAGATAAACCCTAAACATGCTCAGTTCCCAGAAATCTTTTATACTGCACTATATGACATGAAAAATGAGTGCTCTCATATTCCGACTTTCCACAGCCTCCGGTAGCACAGTCGAGAAAATTAAGGATCTTGCCTTCTTCAGAACATTACATGCGCATCAAAAAATTTAGAAGAGTAGAGAAAATCAAATAGGGTAACAAAATATTATGAACTAATCCTTACTTTTCATCATTAAATACTGAGATTCAGAATTTTTGTGATGAATGAATAATTATGCCAAAGGATTAAAGTTGCCCAGCAGGAGAAACAAAGTTGTTGGACACTTGAACATCCCCATTCTTTTCTCACTTTATGACAGGTGAAATACCTAATATAGCCACCTCCTCCACCGAATTGGCCAAACAATGGTGGCCGGTGGCAGTGAAAGTGGCCATACGCCCCTACTTGATGCAGCATGTAATAATTTGCATTTGTGGAGAGAATCCATCAACGAGGACATCATCAGCAGATAAATAAAAGGTTAAAATAACTTTTTAAGAAATAAATGTTAATGTGTTATCGATAAAATTGCAAAAAAAAAAAACAAAAAAAAGAATCTGCTCATGCAAGTTAAGATGGTTGTACCTCTAGATTTTGAAGTTTCTATTCTAAATAATTTTATTGATGAAATTCCTTAGTTAGATTTCTTATTTTTCTTAATTGGGGAAATGAATAATAAATAAATAAATTCTTGACTATTTTTTTAATATGTGAATTGTCTAATTGAATAAGTCTTGTTGTTTTTGCATGTGTCCCGGGGTTGGGTGCAGTGCTTTAAAGTTAGATAGGCACAATCGAACTTGCAAAAAAGTTGAGAAAAATTTTACAATCGAAAATTTACGTCCAAAAAAATCATACTCCGTATAATTTTGTATCCGAAATTTTACATAAGATATAACTTTTTCGGATATAAAATTTCGAAATTTTTAGATGTTATATTCCATATAAAATTTCCTAATAAAATGATGAAAATTATATTGAGAAATTTGTATCGCAAAAAAAATAAATGTTAATCAAATAATTGATTTTTTTTAAAAAAATGCGAACGTCTTTCTTTAATACTGTCATTTATCGTATTTTTAACTATTTTCAATATATGTTTGGACTATTCGATATGTCCATAATGTAGTTCTCGAAATAAGTTTTAAGATNTCGATTAGCGTACGATCGTCGAAGAGTTTTTTAAATTAGCATATTATCGAAATTCAAATTTATTATGATCTTACCCCTATTTGGTGAAGATTAAAATCAATTTTTTAGTAAATTTTGATAAAATTTAAACAGTTATGTATTCCATGAAATATGTTATTAAAATTAGTTGTTAACTTTTATTTAAATTAAAATTTAGATTTCAATCGATACCAAACGTGACTTTTAAAAAANTTAAAATTAGTTGTTAACTTTGATTAAAATTAAAATTTAGATTTCAATCGATACCAAACGTGACTTTTAAAAAAAAAATCTCAAAAGTTGGAGGGGTGGGGGGGGGGGAGAAGTGCCCCCAGGACCCCCCGGGTCCGCCAGTGATGTGTCCCAAGCAAATGTAAAGTTTGGAATTATTTGATAAATATGTTTTATATGCTTATCTAGGTCTTAAAACAATGTTTAATTTGGATTAAAATATCAAATTTGTATTCACTGTGTGTTGTGTGTGATTTGTATAGGTTTAAATCCTCAATTTGAAAATTGATCAAGTCTCACGAAACAGAAAATAGTCAACGTGCTCACACGATCAGAGCGTTGTTCTTTGGAATCCTCTAACTACGGGTGACCCCATCGCAAGTTTGGCCATGTAGATATGGTGAACTGGAATGGGAGAATTTAGGGTCGTTCATGCTATCAATGCCTACAAATACCATTTCTTGGATAATTATAATTTCAAGGGGTCCTCTCGATTCTTCATTGAAATTCAAAATGCCAAAGAATACAAACGTAGGAGATCAACAGCATAAAATATTTCAAGAATCAAGAAAGATGAAGGAAACAGGTAGAATTCTATGCATAATCACAAGTGGCAACTTCCAACAGTATTCGATTTAAATGGATGGAGTATGGCACCATTATAAATAAATATATATATAAAAAAAAGAATCGAACTCTGTGTCTTTATTGCTCCTCTCTCCTACTTCTTATCCAACTGGGACTGGACATTACTCGTAGCCTTATTATCCATGATCTCCCAACCCTCGAGGAGAGCCACTGCCGCGCCAAAAAAGAGAGCCGAACGTGAAGCCGGGCCAAGGCCTTGGCGCATCTTGAGGAATCCGGATGCAGCGGCAGCAGAGAGGATGTTATTCCAGGGATCGTCCTTTTGCCTTACATACGTCATCGAACTTTCGAAAACAGAATAAAGACCACCCCAGATGGCACAGTTGCTGGCAAAACGAGGGGCGTTCATGCGTAAAGCTTGTGAGCCCCGAATGAGCCGCTCACCTTTAGGAGAGTTGTACATGCCTTTCAACATGTAAAAAGCCGACCCGCTCGATATTCCAAAGCAGAATAAAAAGCCTATGTCATCAGATAGGCTATCGAGCCATGGTTCACTATGGACCATTCTTGAATCTGCGTTCAATTAACTCTGATCAATTTGCATATAAATAAAAATTATGCTACATTGCTAGAGATGTTGATATAAATGTAAACGAAATCAATCCAAAAGACAGTAAAACCCATATATATAACTAATCGATCGGAAAAGCAAAAAGCAGCATGAAATCATAAACACCTGAATTTATTCGATTTAAAGATTGATAAGAGGAGGGTAGGGTTGGGTTGGTGAAATGGATTATGAGTCTCCACCTTCAACTAGGTTTTTTAGATGTAATAAAATATATATATGTAGCTGAACTAAATTGTATTCCCCCAACTAAACACAAGCCGAAGACAAATATTTTAGCCAAGCCTCTTGCTTACCAAAAAATAAATAAAATTGAAATATAGTAACAATTTAAAAGATAAGTTTTGTTCCTATGCTATCATTAGTGTAACAATGACATATCCCATGTGCATAGAGTCACATAAATTCAACTAGAAATCAACAGAGCAATGTACAATAGTTTAACTACAAACAAGACAATATGAAAACATTAATATGTAGACTAGTCCTTATTAGATTGTTGTCCAAGTAAACTTGCGGAACTCAAAATCCCAAACAATGACTTTGATATCAATAGAACTCCACAGCAAGATTGCATAACCCGTAAGGGATGAAGTATAAATCCAAAGAAATCAACAACCATTAACACAGGGTATTGATAGTTTAAAATAAAATGGAAAAAAACACATACACCTGATTACTCAGAAAAAAAAGGTGACAGATTAAGGTTCAATGGAAACTAGAGCCAAAAGGGAAATAAACAGAACAAAGAGACTATCTCATAAATTGGTTGAAACACAAGTTTAATCAGAAGTAAAGGAAACAAAACATTATTGATAATTTGGAACCCATAACATTTTCAATCCAGTTTGAACCTTTACTTTACTGTAGATCTATTATATTACCCTATAATCCAATAAACGAATTTATAGCAATCAAATAACCCAATTTGCTTTTCACAATATTTCCCTACAAATTGATAACAACCCAACAAATAAAAATCAATAAACGATACCTCTAAGCTGTCTCTGGCACTAAATTGGATCGTTAGGTTACTGGGCTCGATGGCTGATTGAAGGTGGCCGGACGGTAATCTTGTAGAAATTAAGAAAAGGGAAGGGGGGAGAAGAAAGGAAACATGGGGAAGAAAAGAAAAGGAAAATAGAATAAAAGAAAAAGAAAAGGAAAGAAATAAAAGGAAAGAAAAATGTGGAAATATTTTTTTTAAGAATGTGTTTGATTAGTATAGAAAAACTACTCATAGAAAAGAAATTATTTTTCTTGTTTTGAAGAAAACAAAAACCTACTCTCGAAGAAAATGTTTTCCTAAAAAATAAAGAAAATTAGACATATTTTTAAAAGTTTGAAAATATTTTAAATGGAAAAAATAGAAATTAAACAATCCAAACAAGAATTCAAGTGAAAACTTACATTTTTCATGGAAAATAAATACAATCAAATACACACTAATTTTTTTTTTCTTTTCAATTATCTTTTCTCTTAAAATATACATTTGGTAGGGGCGGGGCTAAAAATTAAAATTAAAATTAAAAAATATTTACACTAATTATTAGCCTACAAATAGG